AAGGTGTTAGATAACGCAGGAGTACCAGAAGCCATGCTCTCCAAGTCCTGTGCCAGCTCTTGTAGGCTCTCCCATTTAGCACGGACTCTCGTCCTGAACCTGGCCTTGTAGACTTCTGACTGGTTTTGGGTTCCGTACCTGAGTTCTAGAGCCGACACCAGTGTTCTATAGTTGTGTCTGTCGGCTGCTGTCAACTGTCCAAGTATTTCCAGTGGTTGTCCCTTCAAGCTCGTTGCCAGATATACTGCTTTCTGCTCCTCTGTCCATCCGTTTATCTCTGCCAGTAACTCAAACTGTGCTCTATATGCTTCCCACGGTTGTTGTCCCGTCACGTTGTCACCCTCTTATATATACCAGTCTACCCTATATCTAGTAATCTTCCGACAATTCCCGAAGGTTCGAGAGAACGAGTCACGTGACCTCGCTAACGCAACAATATACAAGACTACACTATATCTAGAAGAATCACGAGATTTAAGGAAAAGACGTGAATGTTCGAGAATGACGTGGCGTGATACTAGTCACCTGACCTCGATGTCATAACAATATCGTTGCTGTTTTGTTTTATATAGAGGCTTTCTATAACATTTTTTAATTGTTGATTTACGGATGAAGTGGGTAACCGTTTTGATAAAAACACCAGTTTATAATTTACCATCCTTTTGTGGTATACATTTTTCCATTTTTTACATCGATTTAACTGCATCACAGAGGTCTTTATATGACTTTTTTTTTAATCTGAAATATATTTTTTCATCTTAGGTGTAGTGAGAAAAGAAATATGACTGTGATTATGAGGATGTGACAGGACTTTTTTTAAATGTGTGAAGAATGTAAATAATGAACTTTTAATACAGATTTTTGTATATTACAGTTAGTTTCTAATTTTTTGTGACTTCTTTTTGTCTGTTTTTTATTACTAGAGTATAACAAGAAAGGGAAGTTGATTATTATTGTTATCCAATTCAATTGTGATCGGATGCTGGTTGTTTACGGAGTAGTCCTAGAAAAATAGAATTCGAATCACCTTTTTCGTTTTACAATCACATTAAAAAGACTGTCATTGTATTGTATACATAATTACCAAAGTTGCTATAAGTAAAGAAAAAAGGTTCGATAATCCTCTAGGCTATACTGTAAAAAAAGTCATCTTATTTCATAAAGAATTTTAATTTAAAAGCTATTAATACTCTTTGTAATTAAAATTTAAATAAAACTTCTTTTTAGCTGTTGAAAAAACTCTAAAAGCCTCTTAATTTTGTGTATTTAGTTAACGTACGTTTGTTACTGGAAATGAGCGGCAAGAATGATAATTGTACAAACGTATTATACCGTGCGTGTACATAGCTGTATATTCTACTTTACTTTTCTAGTACGAGTAGTGCTGAAATTACTACCAGTTGTTGGTACTTGATATACTAGTACGTATTTAAAGTATAAAGGAGTTAATAGTTTCCTACTAAAAACTCCAGTAGCAAATTGAAGAAGGCATTTGTGCGAGAATATAGCTGACAATGTGAAAAATTGTCCTAACAATATCCAGCTAGATAACAGGTTTTAAATCTATAAAACATTGCATGTACAAGCAATGAAGGAAATCACATTTCAAATGAGAATATTCATTATTACAATTATTTTTGTTGTTTGAGGGAGCCAGGAAGAAAATGAAAATTTGAACTGATTTTTTTTTTATCCCTTTAGGTATGGGGTGCCAAGTTTATCAATCTAGATTTTATTTATTTTTAGCCAAGATATGTCCTTCATTGTTTTGGTGGTGAATATTTTCATTTATGGCAGAGCTGGTTAAAGCATTTGGAAGAGTCTTCAGTTATGTTTATAGATTACATAAAATGACATGTTTCGAAAAAGTTTTGCATGGGCTGCATCTTATAGTTTTTGTTTTATGCATTTGTAATACTTATAAATAGCTGTGTACCCGACCCAGTTCTGGCTGAAAAACACATAAAAGAATATGTCTAAAGTAGATATATCTTTAAACAATCTTGTACAGCAGCAGGTCTAGGGGTGGGGGACATATGTCTCACCCTATACTGAAAGAAATTGCAGACAGACAACTGCTGATCCCCATACAACAATTTTTAGATATAAACACAACTGTATGTTCCCTTTGATCAAACAGTGACCTACTTAATGGTGCACTTCATCAGTGCATCAATTCTACCTGTCTTCCTAGGTGCATAAGTTTGTGAAAAAACTTGAACTGTTAAGAGGGGGCAAGCCCATGAGTAACTTCTTAATCTGCCTCTGTTACATATTTAATAAAGAATTACCAAGACAATAAATAGCATGTCCAACTCATAATCTTATATTTATATAACAAAAAATTATATTTCTTTCATAAATGTCATGGACTCTTGTATGAAGCTATTACAATGTAATACTGAAAATTTAATACCTGTTTAATTAAACTTTTAAAATCTGATGTGTTGCCAGGGTTGATCACATTTAACATCACAGCATGTTTTTTTTTTATATATTTTCAATATAATTGCACTGCTTCTTGTTTTTTTACATAGAAATTTTATGAAATGACAATCTTGATTAACCTAATCAAAGAATGTCAAAATATAAGTGAGACAAAATTTTCACATAGTAAAACCATGTAGACTATCCAAGAAGATTTTAAATTTTATTAAACCACTTTGGAAAGAAATAAACTTTTATCAGACTTTCAAATACTTGTTCCACCACTAATTTAAGAAAGTAATTGGTTTATAATTACCTTGACAATTTTTTATTACTTTCCTTGAAAAGAGTTGTAACATAAGCCAACTTCCAATATTCTGACACCTGCCTACTATTTATGTACTTACAAAAAATATTAGCAAATGTCTCGCGTTACGAATCTCTAACCACCTGAAAAGCCCTTGGGGAAGCATCATTTGGTCCAGGGACTGTATAATTCGTTAAACTTCTCAATATTTTCTTACAAAACTTAGAATTAATGTGTTCATTTTGTATAATCATGTTTCTATATAGCAACTGTTCAGGATGAAGGATACTGCTAAAATCTCTATTATTAAAAATTAAAGAAAGAATAGAATTTAATAACCTATCTATTTCATAATCATCAGAAATGAGATTTTGTTTATCATTCTTCAAAGGCCTCACTCCCATTGTAACATCATTCATAACTGTAATATATGTATTTAAAGAAATCCATCTCACTGTAGTGGACATAGCGTGTATGTCAGTATCTATGTATGTAACCAATACTCCTGCACCATTTTGGAATGTCACCACAAAAAAGTCCATAAAAATTTTCATACTCTTGATATTCAAGATTTAGACAATTAGAAAAATAACTGTGGTATGTGCAACAACCATTCCTTTATAATAGAACACAATTTGAATTTTTTTTTTCTTACTATTAGCCCTCACCCTGCAAAGTCTGGACTTGATGATATTGTTGCGTCAGCGAGGTCACGTGACTAGTATCACGCCAAGTCCTTCTCGAACCTTCGTGAATTATCGGGAGACTACTAGATTGGGGTAGTCTAGTATATATAAGATGGTCACAACATGACGGAACAATGAGTAATTGAACTGCAGTCAGAGAGTGTGTAATTGAACTAAGTATTGTTGAAGTCGAGCATGTGAGACGTTTGTTATAGAGCGACTGTTGAAATTAAGTGTATCGTAAAGTTGTATTCGGAAAGAATAAACCAGTTTTATTTAAGAAAGGACTTGTGTCGCTAAAGTTTCGTCTGTACGAATTTATGGAAAATTAACTAACGAACGGAGACATAACAATATACTGGTTAAAAAAATAGTCATTATTTTGTGAAGGAGAATTCTTGTATAATTTATCTAATAATAATGCTTACAACTGCATCAAACCTTTGTTAGAGAAACTTATAATCAAAAGAAGTTTGAATTTAAATGTATGAGGAAAAGTGTAAGAGGTAACAAATTAAATGAAAACAGTGATAAACTGAATTATGGTCTGTTACCAATAAGGTTTTTGTGGTTCTTATGTTTGTGTTCTTCATAAGTATTTTAAAATTAAATGATTATAATTTTTCTTTACTACTACTAAACTCACTAAGATTTACAGGTCTTATTATCAAATGTAAAGACTAACATAGAATAATTTGGTATTATCCAAAAACACCAAATCTGAACCTTCTTAAAAAGCAGAAATTTCAAAATACAAGATAGTAAAAAAATGAAATTGATTTGTACATAAGTTCTAGGAGATAAAGGTACCTTTATTTTCATAAATTGTAATGAATTATTTTTATGCATATCATTTTATTTGGAGCTTTCAAGATTCAACAATTACGCGTAAAACCACGGTCAGACATGATATAAACGGATGTTGAGTTTCTATGTTTTTTCAGTTTAATAATAAGATTTCTGAGTCTCTAAAAAACCAAATACCAGAAATTTCTTAATTTTTTGGAGAGATATTTTCTAATATAATAAACTTATTCCCCTTCTGATAACAGTTTTTACTCAGTTTCTGGGTGACATATTTCTTCTTTTGATTTTAGGTGATATTGAGCCACTGTTACACAGCTGTTGTAAACTTGGAACTACTTGGGGTAATAACATACCAAACTGTGGAAATTATCCTACACCTATTCCACAAGTCCCAAAAAATCAGCAGTCTGTTTGTCTCTCTGTCCTTGAGATATGTTGTACTCAGGTTCATCGTCATCGCATGTGCAAGAGAGGAAAGGAGACGGCACAGTCTGGACAAGAATGTTCAGTTATACCTACTCTTGAAGGAGTTACTCACAAGGTAAATACTGACAGAGTATGATATCCATATTTATGTATAGAATTACAAAAATACATATCTATTCCACCATTCCAGATTGGACAGAAATTATCTAACCATCACTGAAAACATTATTATTTATTATTAACACTTATTATTTCATTCTATGTTCTGTAAAGGTTACATCAAGAAATCTATGTATCATAAATGTGTTTATGTTGACAGGTCTTAATTACCTGTGTTATTGAGTAGTAATACAATATATTAACACAGTGGTTCTCAAACTGCCCCATCCCCCTAGGAATGATGTGTAATGTATCCTGAGACAGTGCAAGAAGGTTCACAAAAAAAAATACTGTACACATCTTTACTAATAGGTAAGCAGTATCTCACATAAAATTTACATTAGTATATGGATACATGAACCTATGGGGCACATAAATTTTTAACATTTAGTGATAGTGGCATATTAGAGTTTTTTTTTTGTATATGTACATGTGTAGTTTCAAGTATCACAGACAAGAAGAAGGGACCATTGTCAGGATATACAGTAGTCCTTAAAAAGTTTGAAGCCAAATAAAATAGTTGGTCAAACTTTTTTTTATTACAAGTAGGTGTATGAGTGGTAAAAAAGTTTAAATAATTTTACTTTGCACATCTTAGTTATATTTCATATCAGACTGAGTTGTTCCAAAATTGTGAAGTGCTCAAACTTCTACACATATTCATTATTGTCTTTGTGGATATTTTTCATACATTGATGTAAGGTTAGACTTTTGTGATTAGAAATCTTCAACCAGTCAACCATGACTTCAGGATTTATATTCATACTTAATTGTCTCATCTAAAGTGTTTTGTGGAGAAAACTCGTTAGATTTTGTTTAAAAGAAAAGATGTTTCTGCACTTTTATTGTATTTGTCATTCCAAGACTTAGCTACTTCATATCAAGAGTGTGTTTTTACTCCTTTTGTAATTTCAGCTTTTGCCATTTTATTTTGATAATTTTTTGTGATGTATGCAAGATATCTGAATTTACTCATTTCATTCATTGTTTTTTTTCTTATTGACAATTGAATAGCTAGACAGCTAGTTTTCTGTAGGGTAGATTAAACACTTTAGCTTTTTGACTGGTCAGAGGTTTCTATTTCTCCTTAAAAAAACTTTCTTATCAGTGTTGCTGTGTTGTTCTGTGATACTTACAACTCATTGTGTTAATATGAAAGCTATTTTATATCTGTATGATTTTCCCATTTCCTTGAATATTGGTTGTTACGATATAATACATACATCTTCTCACGTCTCATCCCCATAGTTCTCTCTTTCATCCACACTACTCCATGTTGAGTTCTTTTAATGGCTCCATATTGGCTGACTCAACTCTGGTTCCATCTTCTGGAACCTCTGCAGATGTAATCTCCCCTGCCCCTCATATCGACATCTTTTATCCTGTCATCCCCACTCTCCAGCTTCACTCATGGTTTTTGTCAGGTCCCTTGTGGGATGCATGGATCTTACACAGCATGTTACTTCTCTCCTTTCATGTTCAGTCCATTTCTCTACATTTTTGGTCTATCTGGCATGGTTTCTGCCCTTCCCATTGTACCATTCCTCACCTTTCCCAGTTTTTCACCTGGCTCTTTGATCAGGACCTTTCATTTTCGACTGTTTCTGGCTATAGAGCTTCTTTGTCAAACACATTTTGTTTTACTAAGTTCTGCCAGGTTTTTAATCCCCTGTCCTTTTCCTCCTGGTTGGTCCTTTCGTCTTATTCGTCCTCACCATGTTTTTCCTGTCCCTGATTGGAATCTTAATGTTGTCCTTTTGCCATGTCTCATCCTCCCTTTGAACCTTTATCTTCCTGTTTCCTGTATCTTCTTTCCCTTAAGACCTATTTCCTTCTCCTGCTGGCTTCCAGTTCGGATCTGTCTGACCTTTTGCCATTGGTGTTTCCTATACCCTTTATCACAGTACCTATGTTGAGCTGTATCCAGATCATTAATTCCTTCCCCAAACCTCAGCTGCCTGGGAAGGTTAATCTGCCTTCACTCTCATCTCAATTCCTTCCATTTACCATGTTTATTCTCATTCGGATCCTGATGGTCTAATGTGTTTTGTACGGGCTTTATGGTGCTATGCTGCTCGTACATCTTCCTTTTGTGGTTCCTGTTCATGTTTGTATCTTCCCTGGAATCCTTCGGAGTCTTGTGATTTTTCACCCATCACCCTTATGGGTTAGGTTTGTTAGCTTATTTGGTTGGCTTACTCTTCCTTTCCCTTCAAAAGGTGCCTTTTTTATCATGTCTCTTCTCATCAGGTTCAACATATCACCATGTCTCTGGCAGCTCATTTTTGTCATCCTATGGAAGAGATTGTCCAGGCTGGAATATGGACTACTCCTCATACTTTTGCCTCTCATTACTTGTGTCATTTGGCTGTGTACTTCTCTGGTTCGGCTCTAACTTAGTTAAGGGTATTTTTTCTGTTATTATTTTTTCCTACAGAGGCTTCTCCTTGTGTCTTTGTTACATATCTGGATCCTGCTCAGTGGCTAGTGTTGCCTGGTCAGGTATGCCTTACTTTAACCCACACCTTCTGCCTTTATGGTTGTACCACACACTGCTGAGATGGGGTGTTCTCAAGACCACTAGTGGCTTACCTAGTGGTATCTGTATAGCTATATATATACATCTGGAAAAAAGTTAAGCACCCCCGTGTTTTTTTATAGTGATTCAGATTCGACGTTCTTGTGACTGATTATAAATTACC